GTGAATGGAGAGCAAAAAAATGGGTGGCTCAAATTCGAAAGCCGCGCCAGGTATTTTCTGTGTTCATAGTTTAACACCTGTGATTCACCATCATAGACAACGTTGCAATGTTTTTGGATACTTGGACGTTCTGCTTGACAATGTGTCGACTTGTGGCCAAGTCTTGAACATCTGAAACAGTTCTGTGTTTTATAGGGACACTGCGATATGGTGCCAGCCGCCGCATTTCCAACAGGCGATATTTAGTCCTATGGAGTCCTATGGAGGAGCTTGCTCCTTGTGACTGCCAATGTTATTTGGTGTCAGAAACCTGTAGTTGTTGACTACTGGTTTCGCCAATCAACCTTGTATCCTGCTTTATGTTTTTTTGAGTTTAAAACACCCATCTGCTAGTTTCTGTACTGTCAAGTCACCATCCTAATCCAGTCTGAACAGTAGACGTGTGCGTATATCCGCGTCCTCTGGTAGACTCAGTGATTTGAACATTAGAGCCTTAAACTGGTTGGCCGTTGCTTGTTCTAGATTGGCCTGCTGATACATATCATTTGGTCTGCCAGCTAAATCAAAATAGTCTTTATCACCGTACTTTTCCCATTCAAAACATTAACAAAATCTGTTAAACAAAGACTTTGAGTGGCTAAACAAGACTTTCAAATTACTCAGTTTGTGTGAATAAAATTTCAGATGGTTTCTTTGGTAAGACGAACTTGACGTACTTTTCATGTTTCCGTCGCCCGGGCTTCAGTAGAAGAAATTCAACCTGCTCTCCGTCAGACAGCGTTTTTCCTTCTCTCTCGAACAGTAATTCGTACTTTCGGAACCACATCTCGAAAGTAGCCCATCGTTGGACTCATAGATGAATTATGTAATCCTGCCCTAAAGCCACTTCCTTTTGTCGTTACTTCCCGTCTGCTTTCGGTCCTTCTGCAGCTCTGCGATAACGGTCATTAAATTGGCTTGCCGTGCGTTCAACAACTTTTGCATTTGTTCTTCACTAATAATGTTTTGTGGTTTCTTGATATGATCTTGACATCTCATCTGCATCGCCACTGTTGTGTCCCCCGGTTGTACGTGTGGGTTAGAAGACAGGATAGCAGAGAATAGTTTACTGTCACAACTCCTGCGTAAACATCAACTCTGCGCATCTTACTCGACTTATCCCATGTCCGTCAGCAATTCGCCTGTGGTTGCGTCAAGGCGTTCTCGTCTGCTGCATGTCCCACCTCCCGTGTCCGCTCTTGCATTTAAAGGCGATCGGTCCGTGCCCACTTTGCCCCTTCTTATTGGACCATCTTGGCAGCCATCGGATGCTGGTTGACCTCTCAAGGACATGCATAATTCGGCGGCGTTCTTACCCGTAGTCACAGCTCTTTGTGACCGTGCGCTTACCTCTGTTCGCGCCCCTTTGTCCGGTGTGACCTCAAAATGACAAGGGTGGTGACTCACGTGCTGGGCCGTCCTAACAATTGCCCTCTTGTGCGTTGATAGCTTTTTGACCGGCATGCAGGTTCTGACTTGCTGAGCTTTCATCATGCGTGGTGGACTCGGGCAAGATGATTTCCCGGCCACCTGGCCCTGCGGTGTTGGTGTAAGACGACGCGGTGGCCTTTGCGTTCCCCAAGTGGTGACTTGCTTTGGCCAAATTGAGTCTCAGCGCCCAATATAGTTTGGACAAATCGTTGCACTTGTTTATGGATTGGGGGCCCGTAAACTATGACTCAAGTAATTCTCGGCTCTTCCGATTGTTATATCTTGCGAGAATTTCGGCCTCATCAAATTTGAACGTGTGGCCGGGTCTCGTCAAATAGCGAGAATTTCGGCCTCATCAAATTTGAATGTGTGGCCGGGTCTCGTCGAATGAGCCGCAACTTAAGAATTGGTATCATCTCGCCGCACAGCTGACGCGCGTTCGGTAATTGGCGTCTTGAGAACTCTTCCAGTTTCTCCGACGAAGTTTTTTTGTTCGCAACTGCACCAGATCCTACAGACGACTGCAGATGTTTCTCGCCGGGGCAGTGAATCTTTCGGTTTCATTATCTGACGCCTTATGGTTGCCTCCGGCCTGTTTGCGACTCTAACTCAAAGTGCTGCGAGAAGTTCATAAACAATTTCCGGCCATTGAACACTTAAGCGTCCACTTGGAAAATGGCCAGCGGATTTATTTTACGGAAGAATCCCTCTTGCATCAACTCCAGAATACCAAAGATACGACTTTGACGGTGTTCTTCAAATTGTGCCAGCAAGCTTCATTTGCCCAGACGCTTTTGTATATTGAGGTCCCCTCATACTACACGCGGAAACAAAATAAGTGGGCCCGACGAAACATAGGAATTCCAGTTGGAGGACATCCGGGCATCAAATATGATGTTAGAATGGGCAGAATCTACACCGTTCACCCATCTAAACAAGAATGCTTTTACCTAAGAATACTACTTCGCGAAGTTAGAGGTTCAACATCGTTTGAAGATCTTAAAACGATTGATGGTCTTTTATCTTCAACCTACAGAGAAGCCCGTACGATGCGTGGTATGCTTCAAAAGGATAATCAGTGGGAGAATACCAT